GTTAGCAGGTGACGGTCTACTACAAAACACAGCCAGGGCTGTTACACAGAGAAACCCTGTCTTGGGGGAAAAAAAGCAAAAAGCAAAAACCAAACAACACATCACCGCCATCACCTCGCTTCGTTTCAAAACCACTGGTTCCGCTAAGGGAAAATTGTCTCCCCTATCATCAGAACTAGGAAGCTTCACATTGGGACTTCCAGGCCCTGAAGAAGAGTGGGTCATCTAAAAAAGAGAGGGTGGCCTGCTGTGAATCCACATTCAGACTTCCCGACCTGTACGCGGGCTGAGATTCCACCCTGTGCTAGATCCTGCTTCAGACACACGTGTGGTCTGTCCCTCTTTCCTTCCTTCCTTCTCTCTCTTTTTGTGAGTGTGTATGTTCCTGTATGTGTGTAGGGGCATGGCACACACATGTGAAGGCCAGAGGTTCACATCAGGCATTATCCTCAACCACTTTCTATCTTGTTTGCCTTGGTTTTTTTGAGATTCTGTATAACAGCCCTGGCTTTCCTGGAACTCACTCTGTAGACCAGGCTGGCCTCGAACTCACAGAGATCCGCCTGCCTCTGCCTCCCGAGTGCTGGGATTAAAGGCATGTGTCACCACCACCAGCTTCTGCCTTGTTTTTTAAGGCAAGATGAACCCAGGGCTGGGGTGTGGCTAGACTTGACTTTTCCACCAAGCCCTAGGGATCCTCCTGTCACAGCTCCCCACCCCCGTGGGTGTGCACGAGTGTGCGCCCGTACCTAGCTTTCACACGGGGCTGGGGATTGGACTCAGACCCTCACGCTGTGTGACGCACTATACCCCGGCCGTCTCCTCAGCCTCACTGGCACTTTTTCTAAGTAAGTGACCCAAAGTTTAGTTTGTGCTTCAAGGTGGCAGGGATGCAAGAGCCAGGGCAGGAGAACTCCAGACAAGCTCCAGGGGAGGAACTGCTTCTGGGGAAACTGGGAAATTTTGCAAAGGATTAAACCACAGGGCCCTTGTCAGAACAGGTTTTGTGTCTGAGGCTGAATACCACACGGCAGAGTTAAAACTCTTCACTACCTGCAGCATGCAACAGATCCACCTACATAATAAAAAGTACAGGAGGAGAAGGTTGGTTAGTATTTGTTTAGATGCATGCGGGCAGGCTGGGGTACACAGGCTTTCTGGGGACAATGCCCATCCATGGAATGCTATGGATTGGTTTATAACGGAAAAGAACTTTGTTTCTCTCAGGAGACAGAGCCTCTCCTCCCCCGTAGCCTTACTTTAAAGATAAATCAAGAAGCCCAGGTTATCCCCCCACAGACATTTGCCGGTTAAACTTAGAGACAGACAGTTTTGTTTGGTTTTGTTTTGTTTGTTTGGGTCTCTCTACATATCCTAGGCTAACCTTAGATATTCATGATCCCACCTCAGTTTCCCAAGTGCGGGATCACTGGGGTAGGACAGCACATCTGACTGACTACAAAGGAACACTGTGTGTGTTGTGTGTATGTGTTCCTGTGGGTGTGACGTGAGTGGAGGTCAGCATCAGGCATCCTCCTTATGCTCTCCCCTGTCTCCTCTGTTGTTGTTGAGACAGGGTCTGCCCCTGAACCTGCTGCTCATCGACTGGACAACCTGACTAACAGCTTCAGAGACCCACCTGTCTGCATCCCTAACCCTGGAGTTACAGTGTACAGTGTTGTGCCCAGCTTTTATGTGGGTGCTGGGGATCAGAACTCCGATTCCCATGCTTGCCCTGCAGGTGCTGTGCCAAGTGATCCATCTCCCCCTCCCCTACAAAATAACATTTTAAAAAACAGTTTAATTTTTTAATTACGTGTGTGTGTGTGTGTATATGTGTGTGTGTGTGTGTGTGTGTGTGTAGTCATGGGTTTGTGGAGACGAGGGCAGCCGCCTGCAGAAGCCAGGAGAGTGTCAGCTCCCCCGGAAGTGGAATTAGAGGCAGTGGTGAACCTGCCCAACGTGAGTGGTGGGACTCACAGTTAGGTCCTCTAAAAAGTGGTGGCTCCCAGCGGCTGAGCCCTCTCTCCGGCTCTTAGGAACATTTTAACCACAATTTTGGATCAGCTTTTTGGCTCTCTACTCTCAGCCATCCTCTGAGAGGTTAC